GCGGGTAACGTGAGTTGCACCTGGATGACATCTCGCGTCTCGATTAACCTGACAGCACTTAACCGAAACAGATCGGAACGTTGACCGAGGCACATTAACATCCTGCACGAGCTTGGTCCTTCGCGCCACGCCAACATCAGTGTTAGACGTTACCAAGAGTACGATCCTGCTCACTGCAAGCGGGCACATCAGGCAACGGTAACCTTCCCTATAAAAGCTTCGCGCTCAGAAAGAGGAAGGGATCGGATAGAAAAAACCTCCTAAGGCTATCTACTGACTTGATTGTCGGAGGGGTCGGGTCGAGCCTCCCGACTTGACCTATGTGCAGGGACGAAGGCGGAGCGCCTCCCACCGCGTGTCTAAGCGAGGAGTTCCCTTCCAGAGGAAACGATTGTCTCGTCGTGATTGGACCACCGTAGTCGGCCACCTCAACAGTCTCAAGGGTCGCTCAGGAAGATCCCCAATCATTCGGGCCCAAACCCAATTGTGTTGGACTCGAGACCACGACATAAGGTTGTTATATATATATATATATATATATATATATATATATATATATATATATATATATATATATATCGATGGATTTTCAACACATGATGTTATTGATGTGGCTGAAAGATAGCCCTGCATTCATTGTTTCTTTATAATTGAGTTGATATGAGATATCACAACTATGATGTTGCCATGTCAACTAGGAATTTGGTTTGGTCAAGCTAAATTGATTTCAACTAATTAGAATATGTCTTCTGTTTCTTCGAGTTTTCTTTGGCTGAACTGAACTGACCTGTTTCTGGACACCATTCGAGCTCCATCAGTTTGCAGCAGCACACTTACAAAGAACTGTTCCCGGTTTCCTTCATGTTTTGTTGGTGTACTTCCAAGTGTCTTGTGGGAAGCCAAAGCATTGGATCGCCATCAGCTAAGATTCATCAGCTGGTAGCTCAAGTCTCGAGTCTGAAAACGAAACTGATAGCAGGAACACAGTTCAAATGTTCGTCATGGATCCGTGCAATCTTTCACAGTCTGGCCTTTCGACCTTCGTCCACCAGCCTATCTACTTTTGACACCGCTTGAGACTGCCGTCAAAGCACTCGGGTTCAGATTAATCAGGCCGCAGTTGACTGTACCGTAAACAACAGCAACACTAAGGCGTTTCACGGTCACGACAAGGCACTGACGACGGCAAGAAAAAGATGAGAGGGCCGCCCTTTCCAAAGACGAATAGAAATAAAGAAGAGAGTTGGTGTGACAGTATGCTTCTTCGTTTTCTCGGGAGCCTTGTGGTAGGTTCATTGTTGTTTTCTGCTCAAGCGTAGGCCAAATCTCCAAGCACGAGAACACAGTATCGTCGAATGGGATCAGCCCATGGTTCTTATTATAATCCTACGGCATGGCCCCTGGATTTGCTTGCAGGAAGAGACTTTGACGCGAGAGAACGTGGGAGCAAGAAGAAGATAGTACATCGAGAAAGAGAGTGAGAGAGAGACGGGAGTTCAAGCGATTGATGGAATATTCTGGTCCTCGTTCTTATCGAACTCTATTACTCCATACTTCCAATTAACTGATGCCAAGTCCAATCTACTGTAAATGACACAACAAAAAGAGTACTCGAGAGTGAGAACAAGCAGGCATGGCTTCGGTCGCTTCTGCATTCATCATTAATGCCAGAGGTTGACGGTGAGGTCACTTCAAAGCGGAGCTTAGCTGTTGAGGGAGGCCTTTTTCTACGCCATGGACTATCGGTCGGTTGGCAGTGTGCGCGCCCACGTTGTGGCATCATATCTCAGTCAATGCAGCTTCTGGCCCTCGTGTTATCCGCCCCGCTTTCCCACCATATCTTCTCCGAAGCTTCTTGCGGATGCGACCGCATGCAGCATCTCCCCTTTATTCTATGCCAGAAATTACCCGTCCTCGTTCTTGCCACACGGAAGGAACTCGGTGCGCATTGACTGCAGAATAAGGACTTCTCTCGAGCTTCTCTTTCCTCTCGGTCATGTCCAATATCAAGTGCTGCTGGAGCAAGAGACGTGCCTTCTTCGTCTTCTTGCATGCACTGTAACCACAGATGACGGCAGTAGCGATGTGCATGGCGTCATCTGAGGAGTTGGAACAGGGGAACTCGAGTTTCCTGTTTCGACCGTTGTATGGGATCCTCGCCCGTGCGTGGTGAGCGAAGTGCATTGGTGCTGACGAGTTCTTCCGCACGGAATCCGCCGGCCCAATCGGAGGCGGTAGTGACTTTTTGGGGATATCATTGTGAACCGGTCAGATCACCCCCTTTGACTCCACCAACCCTAAATCCTTCTCTCTCTCTCTCTCTCAACTCCACTTCTCCACCTGTTACCGCCTGACGCACTATCTTATGTCAGCCTCTTACCCACAACCAAGTCTTCTCCCTTCTCTCCCTCTCTCGCTCTCTTCCTCCCTCTATATTCGCCTTCCGCGGCTTACCTGTTAAAAGCCTTCGCGACTTCACGCTTCCAATTCTTTTCTTCTTCTTCATCTTCTTCCGATCTTGATCACACGAGCTGCTACAGGTTTCTATAAGATACATGGACAAAGGTGGTACTACCGGAGTAGGACTCACCTTGAACACCTCTGGTTCTTTCTTTGTTCCGTCTACCTTGGACCACCGCGGAGGCGGTCTCGGGCGCCACCGGTCCATGGGCTCCGACCTCAATCACCTTTGCAGCAGCAGCGGCGGCAGCGAGTTTACTGACATGACTCGCGTTGCCGTGAACGAGATGGATTTCTTCTCGGAGGAAAGGAAGAAGGCCTTCAGCAAAGTGGAGAATGATCTCGATCTCATGCTCCCCAGTTCTTGCGTCAAGAAGGAAGATCTCACCATCCATGTTAGTATTTATTATTGGTATCATGTATGTCTTTCTGTCCAAATACGTGCGTCCAAATATGTCTTTCTGTCCAAACTTGTAGACCGGATTAAACCTTCTCACGGCCAACGCCGGCAATGATGAATCGATGGTAGACAACAAGTTGTCGCCGACTAAGGACCATAAAGAAAGCAAGACTGAGGTCCGAACAAAATGATCTCCCTGAATTTTGCTTGTTCTACCCTTGTCGTTTGATTGAACTAATTAAGTTGCTTGATTCAGTTGGCAGCCATGGAATCCGAGCTAGCGCGCGTGAAGGAAGAGAACCAGAAGCTGCAGGAGATGGTGGAGCAAGCGACCACCAACTATAACGCCCTGCAGAAGCACCTCGTCGCACTGATGCGGCAGCAACACCAATCCAACAGACACCCGCCGCGAGATCACGAGGTGAGATAAGATCACTCCAGTTGCTGAAAGTAGAATCCCAATCAAAGGATTCCTTCGTGACCCTTCAGGTCGCCGATGAAAATGTCAAAGCCACGAATCAGGAACATGGAGGAGTTCTCGTGCCACGGCAGTTCATGGATCTCGGTGCTGCTGTGGAAGCCGATGAGCCATCTCACTCTTCGACCGCAAGCCAAGATCGACCTCCGGGATCGACGGACCACCGGCTACACGGCGGCAGCAACAAGAAGGAGATTGCTCCACCTGATCACGGGAGTTCTTTCAGGGAAGAGAAGCCAGATCACCCCAATAAAGCACCCAAGTTAACGCCTGCCGGGGTCACCGAGCAAGCTCAGGAAGCCATCATGAGGAAAGCCCGTGTATCTGTCCGAGCACGGTCCGAAGCACCCATGGTAAGTAAGACTACCACTGACCTACAGCTACTACGAATTCCCATCCAATGAACAGTTCTTGATTGCTCATAGCGAGTATTCACCGTGTCTTTAGATCACTGATGGATGTCAATGGAGGAAGTATGGACAGAAGATGGCGAAAGGGAACCCGTGCCCCCGGGCTTACTATAGATGCACCATGGCCTCCGGGTGCCCAGTCCGCAAGCAGGTAATGCACATCCAGTGCAATTAGAGCTCACCAAAGATGATTGATGTAGGTAAGCGTTCGGCTGATGATCCATTGTTTTGCCCACCAATAGGTGCAGAGGTGCGCCGAGGATCGCTCGATCCTGATAACGACGTACGAGGGCACTCACAACCACCCGCTCCCGCCGGCGGCCATGGCGATGGCATCGACCACTTCGGCCGCGGCATCGATGCTCCTATCGGGCTCCATGTCGAGCCCCGAGGGGCTGATGAATCCCAACTTCCTGGCCAGAACGATGCTGCCTTACTCGTCGAGCATGGCGACCATATCGGCCTCGGCGCCGTTCCCGACCGTGACATTGGATCTCACCCACTCCCCAAACGCCGCACAGTTGCAGAGGCCACCTACCCAGTTCCAAGTCCCCTTCCCCGGCGCTGCCGCAGGCTTCCTTGCGCCGCCTCAGCCGGCGTCTCTGCCGCCACAGATCTTCGGGCAGGCGCTATACGACCCGTCAAAATTCTCGAGTCTCCAGTCAGCGCTTCCACCCTCCTCCCTGACCGACACGGTAAGCGCTGCTACGGCGGCCATAACAGCAGACCCCAACTTCACGGCGGCGCTTGCTGCGGCCATATCGTCGATCATCGGTGGCAATCATCAGGCTGCAAGTCACAACGACGACACCAAGAGTAGCGCAAACAAAACTACGAGCGACGGCAACGACGACGACAAGACCAACAACAGCAAAGACGACGCCAGCAATTCGGCCAGTCCCAATTTTCCGGCGGCCTGATACTGCCACTCGATCATACATCTCTCATCTTCTTAATTTCACTTTTTTTTCTTGTTTTACGGAGAAAAATCAACATCATACATGTTAATTATTTTTTGGACAAGCGTATATGTCTGCTTTTAGCTTTTCCCCATAGTGCATCAAGACAAAGCAGAACGGAGGGAACGGCATGTCCAACGAAGGTCTCATGTCATCTTCTCTCTCTTCATCCCCACCCGATCCTCTGGGTTTCGTCGTCAAGTGGGTTGCCTCTCTTGTCTGTGGGTGTTCCACACGTCGCTGGAAGGTCAGAGATTGCGACCATGCACATGAAGCATGTGCTGGACCGTGATAAGAAGCAGGGAAGACGAGACAGCTAAGTAGAACGGGACCAGACGAAAGCAACAGTAGTATTCTTTTAATGCTTCATTTCGTTGACGTGAAGAACGAAAACTCATCTACAATATTTACATGTGGCAAAGACATCAATAGCGAGTTCAAGATGAATTGAGGGGGAGAATAATAAACGGGTATACCGAGGCAAAGTAGTAGAATACAAGATGGAGTGGGATACGATGGAAAGGATTCGGATTGACGATGGGTACGTGTAGGAAATGAAATGAGTTCTTCGAAATGGAGATCACGCCGACTTCGCTTTCAGATTTGACCATAGAAAACGATGGCGTTCCTGCACACTTTGTCCGGCATGAGATGTGGCATTAAATTGGAAGAGATACATTAAAGGAGATGATAAGATGAACATGGCCGGGCTTGACGAGTCCACGTACGGGAGTCCCCCCTATATAGTGACCTTTTATATATTATGAGTGAAGCATGACATAATTATTAGGAGGATATGCAAGCGGAGGATGAAATTAGTGATCTTACTTTAAGAGAAATTATGTGTTCTTGTAATATGTATTTCTCTTTTTAATATAATCTTTAAGCTTTAAGCATGAAACTTGCTAGCCAATTAGTCTTTTATCCGGGCCTCGGCAGCAAGCTAAGCTTGTAGCATCAGTTTGCCAATTGATTTTTTTTATTGTTTTAACAAATAATAAGCAATAAAGATGAAATTTGATCTCAAAATTTAGTTAAATTTTTTATCAATTATACCAATATATTTAAGTAGAAAAATTTATCAAATAAGATTTTAACTCTTTGATTTTGAATTTTTAAGGTGTCAGGTGAAAATGATATGACAGATGAGTGAGCTCGATGTACAATTTACATCCACATTCGATGCCAATTTACATCAATGGGGGTCGAGCCTATGAACATGTGACAGATAGCCCTAGCAACACTTGCGTGGTCGAACTCATGGGCACACAAGGGTTGAGTCAAATGTCATGTGTTCGACTGATCAAGGATCCGAGCCACCCAACCAATGCAATCAAGCATTAAAGGCATCAGACGTGTCAGACACGAGGCTACTTCTTCACTAAGTCGTTAGTCATTCAACTTTCTCTATTAATAAGCCCGAGAGTAATTGTTATTAGAGTCGCTAATAAAAGAGACTCCTAGGTATATTTTCAGTGAATATTCAACTCTTACTTAGTGTGACTAGTCTAACCGCTTTAAGCTCAATACTAACTTGACTATCAAAAAGGTCATAGTGGAGAATGCCCCGACTTAGTTTTATAGGAATTCGATCTTATCAAAAATGACCTAGAAAAAGATCATCTAAGAAGGGTCATGGTTGGATTCAAATACTTATTCTAAGTCGGACAATCATAATTTGACTTATCATATTAGCATTAGAAGGATGACCCAAGATGTCTCAGGGAAACTTTGTAGGATTATCCAGACAGAATGAAGAGGTCGATAACCATAAGCGTATCAATGTCGAACCCCTCATCCATTGTCCCCCAGCCAGTAGGGGTCGCCCCCTCCACTTTTTAGCTAACTAACCCTTCTTTATTTCATTGGTTATTCCAAGACCTAACGATCGACCCCCAAATGACTCAATCTATGACTACAACAATAATAATCTCTATAGAAACCTTCCATAACCTAACTTAATAAATCATTTTTAATGAGAGTCTCTCAATCTATAGCCTTATATTTCACATAACTGACCTAGTTAATATAACAATTTCTATTCACCCCTCATTTCCTAGCTCTCATTCCATCGTTGGATCCTGCCTCGAGTATTATGGTAGTAGAGTCATACATCATTATCACTAATCCATCCAAGGATAATCACCCTCTAAATCTTCTCCCCGCATTCCACTAAATAATAACCCCTCTCAAGATGAAGAGGACTATAAGAGTTAGTCACTTTAATGACCTTCGTTCTTTCCAATATACAAATCCAACTCCACAAGATGGATCAGAGGATATCAAAAAAAGAAATTAGATAAAGGAAACAACCAAAGATTGTTCCTTACCTTAGGGCCTCTTTTGTCAAAGAAATAATGGAGGAGCCCATCCCTCAATGTTTTCATATGCCAATGTTAGAGTTATATAAAATAAGTTTTGACCTGATAGAATATATAACTCCCTTCACTTTCTAAATAATGCTATTCGGGATTGTAGATTTCATTATGTATAGTATTTTTCTAATAACTATATGAAGTACTATAAAGAAGTGATTATCTCTTTCTTTGGACAACTCACTAGAGATTTTGAGTTAAACTTCATTAGCTACAAGCTATTAAAGAAGTTAATGACCTCCCTTCTAGTGATTTGATCAATGGACAAGGAGTCTCTCTCTAGTTATACCAAGCGATTCAATGATGAAGTACAACTAGTGGTTGATCCAAGCTCATTCACCTCATCAAAGCTTACATTAGTGATCTAAAGTCTTAGAAGTTTTTTTACTTAGTTAGCACATGATCGTTTACTATTTTTTTGAATTATTGTAAGAGGTCAATCGTCACATTATATCAGACTCTATAATTACAGGAGAAAGAAACTTCAAGCCTAAAAAAGTTGCAAGAGAGGAAGGGAGTTCGCAACAAGGAACTCCGAACACCCCCACAATAATAAGCTGAGAGGAGACCAGGCACCCCTCTCGAAGAGAGTTTACCCTATTGAACATGCTGTGCATTAAAGTGTTTGTGCAAATAAGAGAAAAATACTTGTTTTGCACCCCTCATCCTTTGAGACTCTCCTAACTTGACAGAATTGTTTAAAATTCTATCATTTCCATCAAAATCATAGGCACGATATAGAAAACTACTATGATCTAAAGTAACAAATCAGGGCCCTTATTTAGAAGGAAAAGCTCAATTGTTATCTACATAGAGTACAAGAATCTTCCCGAGGTCATGACGTCGTGAGATCTCATGGAGTGGCAAGTGAATATAATAGTAAGAGGCCCTGCAGCTAAGGAAACTAACTCCACATCTTGCAAAATTATGTGAGGGATCACCGATTAAAAAGGTTTCACCACTCTAGAAATCCTTTAATTATGTTTAAAGAGGTGGTGACAGAACACTTCGATCCTAATTATGATAATGCTCTTGTTGTCTCTCTTAGAATCGTCAATGCACTAGCAAAGAGATTCCTAGTAGGCATAAAAAAGTTGTATTGATATTATGATACATTCTTGAATATTGGATTAAGCACCAAGGACTTCCAACCAATCTCCTCTACACTCACTGGCTTTACTAAAGATTTCATCACTCCCTTGAGAATAACTAATCTATATGTTACCTTTGGGTTAGATAATTGTTCCAAGATAGTACAGATTAAGTTCTTGGTGGTTGATGTCTCGTATGCCTATAATGCTATTATCAATCGTCCAACCATCAATCATTTGTATATAGTTATCTTAACTTATTACATGACCTTAGAATTCCCTACTAGCTTCGAAGTTGGAGAGGTCAAGAGTGACCCACGAGAGTCTCACTAATGTTATCTCATGTCAGTAACACTTCTGAAGAGAATAACTTTTTCAATCCAACAATAGGATCCAAGAGAGCTAGCCCCTCAAACTACTCATATAGAGGCCCAAGAACCATTGCTAGAAGTGCCTCCGGACCTAGCAAAATCAAACAGAACCATGAAGATTGGCTTGGCCCTTATTAAAAAAATAAAGACTAAACTTATCAACTTTCTGTGTCAGAAAAGTCTTCATTAGGACTCATAATGATATGCCAAGAAGCTATAACCCAACACTATCTTAATACTAACTCATAGAATCGATCTATTCGATAAAAGCCTTGAAGGTTCGCAAATCGATCTATCCAATAAAAGTCTCAAAATGTTGGTACTAAATTGACATACGATAATAAAGGAAAAGATTAATAAATTATTACTTACTAATTTTATTTGTAAAGTTTATTATATAAAGTAGTCGACTAATATAGTTCTTACAAAAAGAATAATCGAAAATGATATATGTTTATTGTAACAAGGCTAATCCAAAATTGACCTCAAAGTCATAAATTACTAATCTTTATGTATGCTTTAAAAAAAAAATTATTGAACTAAATGAATATAGAAAGAGTCTTGCTCAATCGAGGAGAATAGAATATCGAAATAGAATGATCAATTTCTTTGTCATATAAAATTAGAGCCAATATACATATTTATTATCTTCTAATATATACATAGTATATTTAATTTTATCAAAATACTATAAAGGAACCTAGGAGGCTTAATTATTTTGTTGAAGATGTAAGCAAGAAGCTTTGCATCTGTTTCAACATGGATTTTAGATATTTCTTATTGAATGATCGTCTTTAATCTAATCCGAAATTACCTTGGTCTCACAATAGAATACAGGACGACCTTACATATGAGAGCACCAAGCAACAATACACAATCCGGAATGAAGAAATATCTGCCTCATATGTCAATTTCTGCCAAGAAATATCACTCTTCTCTCCCTTAAAAATATATAATTATCATATTCTACTGGATCACCAGTATTATTTGTAGATTTAAGTCCCTAGTTCCCAAGCTTTAGACATGTTGGTACATTTCATATCGTATATATACTTCAAATTTCATATCATACATGATCAACAAGCAGCATTCAATCAGTAGTAGCTCATGAGGCACCCTTCGCCCGTGCGAAGTTGATGAGGATTCGCAGTGTAATTTTAGCTACCTCAAATATGCAATTTACGATAACCGAATAATAATGACTTAAAAAAAATTAAATATAATTTTAAATATATTTAGTATTCTTCGTTCGTAAACTTCGAGTCAAGGTGAGTTTCGCAAGCTATCGTGTCGAGCGAGGATTGGTTGCTTCTTATGTTGGTCATTGTCACGCGGGACAGCACACCGGTTCTACACCGTATAAATGAACAGAACTCTAACGACCAATCCCCTTTCGCTCTTTTTTGTCCGCTTTCTGACGCCACAGCGCGAAGGATCGCACGTATCGTTCTTCGTCGGATCGTCGTCCCCAGCAGCTCCATCTCTGAATCCAGGGATCGAAGATGGTATCAATTAGCAACTCTTCCTCGGGATCCCTTTCTTTTGGTTGACCGATCGGTTTCTCTGAACAATTAGAGACTTGATGCGTGACAACCCTAATCCTCTCTTCGAATCTGATCGGCTTAGGGTTTCTTTAACCGATTTCGAGATCCTCGTTCTTCTTCGCCGATTGCTTGTCATATTCATTCTGTAGTAGATGTCTTGATTTGGATCGGCATCGTCATATCTTGATGCCCAAGGCTTCTCTGTGTCCTTTTTTTTGTTATTGTGATGCCATGTTCAGCTTAGCCTCGTGATGAAATTCCCAAATATTTTTCTGCTTGGATTTTTGTTGTATCATACTTTTGAATCTGATCCTAGATGAATATATAGGATTTAATAGGAAATCTGAATCACGCTATAGAATCTGTGTACGCACTTTACGCTAGCTTGCATAGCTCGTCTCTCCTGTGACATGTATTACATGATCTTCGTTTTGTATTCTTCTCTGATTTATGTTCTCCTTTTGTTTACCAGTCTTCCCTTGCGGCTGCTAGAGCGGATAATTTCTACTACCCGCCAGAATGGGATCCGAAAAAGGTACTTCTCCTCGCAGTTGATGATGTTGTACCCATAATATGTTTTGACGAAAATTGTAATTGTTATTTGTTGGGTATATTGTGACGATTGTATTATTAATGTGCTTTGCAGGGTTCCTTGAACAAGTTTCAAGGACAACATCCCTTGAGGGAGAGAGCAAGGAAGATAGACCAAGGCATACTAATTATAAGGTACTGGATTGAAGGGTGAAACAAGAATGATATTTACAAAATGTGCTGCTTATTAATGCCTTCCTTGTCATCAGTTCCAAAAATCATAGATCCATTGAGCTAGCTATTGAATTCACTTACTATAATTTGTTTAATCGATAGGTGAAGTCATATTCCGCCATAAAACAAATTTGGTACTTCATCATATCTAAGATGATTGAGTTGTTTCCCTGGAATTTGCCTGGATCAACTTAATATTCTATGATTTTTACTGGCTTATAAAGTTCAGGGTTGAATATGTAGTATTCATTACATGTTGCTTTTGCCATCGTATGTTTGGCATTCAACATAGTTTTCATTGTTAAAGTTGGTGGGACAGAGTTGAACTGCAGACTGTGATCTTCTTAATGACCACTCACCTCTCCATGCCATGCACTTCCGATTTTGTCGCCGTAAGTTCTTGATTGTTCATCTCCTAGAAGTACCTATGACAGTTAAACTCATTCTCGTGTGTTCTAGTAAATTTGCTGCTTCATATGTGCAATTTTTTATCGAAGCAGCCCTTACTCTAGGCCCTCAAATTAGCATGCTAGTGTGCTTTAGATGTCCTTTGAGTCTACAGAAATCATTTTAGTGGTTGAGTGAATTGCAATGGTAGAGGAAGATCTAAAATGACTTTAATAGAAACTATGAAAAGAGATTTAAGTACTCTAAACCTAACTAAACGTATATTTTTTGTAGATCTTAATGACGGTTAATGATCCATGTAGCCGACCCCAGATGGTTGGGACTTATGGCTTTGTTATTGTTATGAATTGCAACTTGTTGATCTGTGCTCTAGAAACATTGTTATTGTAGGAGGCCTCGTCCGACATTAAGCTACAATTTAGTGTGCTTTAGTGTTTGCTAGTATGAAATTTGTCGTGCTATGAAAAATTGTTAAAAGCTACATCTTTTAACAATAAAGCAAAAATTCTCACCTTTTATATCAAAATTATGAAGTCTTTAGCTGGTCAGAGAGCTGTAGATAAGAGAGATTGCATGCAAAAATGTGTGATAAATCAAATCTGCTACAAGGATAAGCTTTATTGGTAAATTTCTAAGGATAATATGGAACTTTGTCAATTTTTCTCCTTTATCGGTAAGAGAGAGTGACTTTGAAATTTTTGTTGTGTGTTGATGATGTCATATTTAGTCTGGGAGCTAGAGACCCAAGCCCTCTTAAAGAGCCAAAGGTCGTTGCTCTCCCCTTTTGGGGAATGATAAACAGCTAAAGAATGAAAGCATGTCGGACCTACTTCAAAGAGAGTAACCAATGCCGAACTAAATGTGATCTCATCATTTAACTGCAAAACTTTTTGAATATGGGCTTTTAGGTGAAGGAATTAACATACGTGTAATTAGAAAAAAAAATGCTATGTAGAAAACATCCTAGCATTGAGAAACAAAAAATACATTGGCAATTGAAATATTTTGGTTTCTTTTCATGGAAGACCAACCGGTTTTCATAGTCAAGTTTACTCCTGTTCAGACATCTTGTTTGAGAATGTAAGGTTTTATATTGCAAGAGTCACCATGGGAATTTTAGCCTTCTTCTAGCTTTTCCCAAGTACAGTTCCACTAGCTTAACATCGGTCCACTTCTGCAGGTTCGAGATGCCTTTCAATGTGTGGTGTGGTGGATGCAATTCAATGATTGCCAAAGGTGTGAGGTTTAATGCAGAGAAAAAGCAAGTGGGAAATTATTATTCAACCAAGGTACTCGAAAACTTCTTTTATTGTCTTCCAGCTTCCATGTGTCATCATCACATTAAAGTTAATAAAAGAAAGAATCTCTTACTTCTCTCCTTTCCCTTTAATGGCTTTTAACTAGAGATAGATACATTGCAAGTGATCAGTGTTTGCGGTTCTGTCAGAGAAATTTCTAGATGTCTAATTGTGAATTTATTTTTGCTAGATATGGAGCTTTTCCATGAAGTCAGCATGCTGTAAGCATGAAATAGTCGTACAGACTGATCCAAAGAACTGTGAATATGTCATAATCAGTGGAGCTCAGAGAAAGACAGAGGATTTTGACATAGAGGACGCAGAAACATTTGCCCTTCCAGCTGATGATGTTATGTGCCTTTCTTTTATTCTTTTTTCATCTTTCACTTGCTAAGCATAGTCTTGGGGGAAAAAAGAGGTTGTCTTATTTATTTTCTTGATTCCTATCTCATTGAAAGACCATGTCGCAGAAAGAGGCAAGCTTGCTGATCCCTTTTATCGTCTTGAACATCAAGAAGAAGATCTGCGGAAGAAGAAAGAAGCAGAACCATTGCTAGTCCGCCTTCAGAGAGTCTCGGACAGCAGGCATGCTGATGATTATAGCCTTAACAGATCCCTCCGTGGCCGTCTTAGAGTGAGTCATCATCTCCTTATATATATATATGTATATGTATATATATATATACATATATATATATATATATGTATATATATATATATATATATATATATATATAAGTTTTTTGATTTTATTTTGACGAGTTGTAAACTTGTCATCTATCGTGCTCTTAACTTCAGAACCAAAAGAGGAAGGTCGCAGAAGAAGAAGAGGTTTCAAGAAGGATGGGCCTTGGCATACGGCTTCTTCCTCTATCGCAAGAAGATGCAGCGAGTGCAGCTGGCATCGGATTTGCCTCAAAATTTGAGAGGAACAGGAAGGACAAGCGGGCAGCGATCAAGGCTTCCTCCATATTTCCAGAGTCATCAGGTTCTGCATCAGGAAGTAGACGGTTGGAGCTAGAGTCGAAGAGGAGAAAAATAAAAGCAATTGCAGCTTCTGCTTTATTATCTGGTAGGATTAAGCCTTTGTCGTGGCAACAAAAGGCAGGATTCGTTAAGCCATAACTGTCTGCAAGATCCGGGTATCCCCAATAATTGTAGTTGGCGGTTCAATTACCAGAAGTGATATGGATGCGGAGCTCGGCCTTTGTGTGCTTGGGATGTTTGTGGTGGAACGCAAGAAAGTACGTGGGATCATGTTAGATTTGCGTGCCCTTAAGTAGCGCTCATTTTATGTTTCATGTATTGATTGCTTTGCACTGTAGTTGGTGATGTTGAGATAAAAGATATTACGGTTCTGTCGTGATACTTTACGTGTATAGTTCCCAAGTGATGAGATTAGGTATAGTGGGGTTCGGAAAACATCTGAAGGACACCTTTCCCCCTCTTCTTTTAGTCACATGTCAAAACCAATGCAAGTGAGACGGGAAACTTGAAAAAAATGCCAGGTGTAAGAAAATGCCAAGAAGTTGGAAGAGAATCGGAGTTTATTTCCACTTTTTATGCAAAGTATAGAAATACGAGGCACATCAGACGGTTCAGTTTGCAGCCATGAGGTGCGATACGTACGATAGATAGATGATGTGGTTCCGGGGATGCACGACCCCACCCGAAAGGCATTGAAAGAACCCGACAAATGCAGTTTGAAGCCTAACATAAAACACACAGACGATTGAACCCCCAAAACAAGAAAGACTTCTTCGGGAACAACCTACAAGTCGAGAGGGGAACAAACAACGCCTCCTAACCAAGAAATCAAACCTTAACTTAAAAACATGCCTCATCATTCTCTCCTACGGATCCACAGTTGAATACACACCAAAAGAATATGAAGCTACAGATTATTTCACAACTTATTCTATACAGCAGACAAAGAATATGACCAGCTAAAGACAAAACGTAAAATAAAGGAAAAAAGCAGCTGTACATTTAGACAAGTGGGAAACACAACAAAATGAATAAATTTAATGAAAACACAAACGTTATATGGAGATCTCAAGATATACCCTTCAGAGGCAGAGGAGTCGCTGTTAATCCCGCACGGATGGCCTTCAGAAGAGCAACAAATTTGAATAGAGTCTCTTCCGAGTACCACTTGAGTTTCCATGTTCGAACCTTTGAGGCTTCAATGGATGGCTTTTCTTTTTCAGCATTGTCAGCAAAGCAGTCAACCCCAGACATGAAATCCGCAAATGTCAAGGTCAAGCATCTACTATCACCGAGCTCAATGACCTGAAGAACCAAAATATGAGTGTCAGGAATGTTTGAGCGACCATTTACCAAGACAATCCGAGTTTTCTGTTCGCAGGCGACGAACTACATAGATTCTGTTCCCATTATTTCCACCCAAGTCGATCCTCAAACCGACCAGTGAAATTTAAAATCACTGATAGCCCCGGTATATACATGTTGCATAATTTGGATATTTCACAAGAGGGCACATAATAATTGTGCAGGAGCAACAGATCACCAGCAGCACAATGTTATCAATCAATAGGTACTTAGGTTAGCCTTCAAAAATTTATAGAAGTTTCTCCAAAACAAATTGGAGGCTTAATATGAAGAACTGCTGGTCACTTAACATGCATACTGTTTGCATATCACAAAACAATTGAATTCTTTGAACCAAATGATACCAATAGAACTGCTGATTTGAAAAAGGCATAAAAATATTGAATTTTACAAGAAACAATATCGCAAGTTCACTTACCATTTCTAGTATATCCTGAATCACACAGCATGAATCTAGAGAGTAGTAAGGGCAAGTTAATCCACAATCATCGATAGAAGAACCAAACTGTACAAGATTCTCAATGCACACAAGCATATATCCTTCCACAACAAAAATTGATCTCGTAAACCAGGATTCCCCTGTGCAACAATAAAACGAAAAACTTTTAAGTCGTACCATTCTACTTTGTCCTACAAAGATTAATTACAAATGTAAGAGCATAACAGTTAAAGAATTTCATATGCAATAATCGGTAAGCTCAATAACAAAAAGCTCCAATGATGTCAAACTTCAAAAATTTATTCCACAGCAAAATAATTCTTCAACCATTAATATACAAATAACGTTTGTAGCAAACTTGCATAAAAACACAGAACTCTCAATATATTCTGAAAATTTTTGGATCAGATAACTTTGAAAGCATACCTTCAGAATCATCATGCCAAAACAGCAACATAGAATAGAAAAATATTCCAATCTTCAGATCTTTAAATAAACATTTCTCAAACAATTTCACCTGAACCTGCTCCCAACTGCCATTTAAATTTACAAAGCAACCAATCAAAGGATAAGAAAGAAGATACTACAAATGGAAGCATGCCAAAATTACATGTCAATACTGAACAGATAATTAGAGAGTTCACCTTGTTAGAGAGCATGATCTACTTAATGCAGTAGAATCACAGAGTTTTAACAGGGATAGTAAACTCTTTGACTTTTCAGAAATCCTCGTGAAGAACAGGTATGTTGCACTCCCTTCGAGGTATATCCTAAAGAACAGTTATGTGAAAACCCAAATTGGTGTATAATATATACATCCCATAAACAGAAATTAAGACAAACCGCAAAGCTTGAAGTCCAAGTCCAACCACAACTTCCCTCAAATCTTCAAACTTATGGCATCCCAAGACTTCAGAGATGCTATCTGTAAAAATATTATCCAGATTATAGAATGAAGCTACACGGCCAAAAAAAAAACAAAACAACCCCACAATTTTACAGCAAATGCCCTTAAAAGAAACATCAAGTGACATCCAATTAGCAAATAACTTGACCTCGCCCATCAGGTGTTGCTTCAATAAGTAGAATATACAATTTGTCCTTGCAGCTCCGTAGAACAGCAACTTCACTGCAGAAAGTGACAAAAAAATTGCAAAAAGCTCCTTCAAGTCAATATAAAAAGAATCAGCACATCATTGAAATAAAGATACTAAATCTCCAGATAATGGCATACAGCAGGGATGCACCAAACATAAAGATATTATTGAAACCCATTAAAGCTCCAGCCCATTGTGGACACAGCACAATGACCAGTTCAATCAAGCATCACACACCAAATAAACAAGCTAATGAAACTTACAAATTCTTTATTAATTAGCATACACCCCACATCATCAATGTAAAGTTTCTTCAGCACTGGACAACAGGGAGATTTATCTATGATATTCAATCTCCAAATAACTCCTCATACATAAAAGTAGTTATGTTTTCGACATTTTTAGTCATGACAAAAAAAAATTTCATATAAAGATAAGAATAATAACCTAATGCTGCTTCGAGAAAGTAACAGAGCTACATGGAAAGGCCTGTAAATATTCTCTATGATTGTAACTAATTTGGAAGTAACAAAAAATTTACAAATGCTTTAATTTAAGCCAAAAGAGTCACAAAATAGTTTTTCTTTTAACCAGTCACGGAAATAGAAGAAGGAATAAATGGCCTTGAAGTCAACACCTATAACCTCAGCAACTTCAACACCTTTAACAAAAACTCACTAAACAATTTATTTGTTTCCATTGCTCAGATACTATCTGCAATTTATATCGTCATGTCTCCATGATGCCAAAACTTAATTGGAACACTACAATTTTGCTTAGCGTCAGAAGAATAGTTGGAAGCAGAAAAGTGTGCCCTTCCTTTAGAAAGATGTCACTTCAGATGAATCTATATTAATAACTTACAAAGATGTCAAGTAATTCCAAGCATGAATCCATATTCTTCACTTGGCAAGAGCTTCAGCTACTTTGAGAAAGCAACTTACACCAAGACAGGGCAACAACCTAATGCTGTATGACAGAATCTACTATATAAACATAAAAGATGCTGAAAAGGAACATAAAAATTGACAGAATGCAATATCTCTAAAGAACAACTTCTCACAGAATGACATTAGATACAGAATAAACCTTGGGGACTTTACCTCTCTTGAAAGACAGCTCCACATTGAAATACACAGTCACAACGAACTACTTCCTCAAAGGTTTCAGAAGCACCAAAGCCTTCAACCTTCCGATGAAAAAAGTCCATTATGTGTTCATATTGTGCAAGATCAAGAGAGCTAGTCCCTGCCTTTGCACAAGAGTTACAGCCACCAACAATGGATGGATGATTGTTACAGCAACTCTGTTCTGCCTTAACAGAAGGTTCCTCACTTGTTATATTCCATTGCCCACATCCATCAGTCTTTATAAACTCTAAATCACCATTAAGTTTCTCATATATTGGTTTTTTATGAAGATCTTCTGAGAGTGTGATGAACCTTCTCTTAAGCTTCCCTTTACCTCTCTGTTTCTCAATATCACCAACTTCCTGACTCGTACCATGCGCAAAACCATAACCACCATTAACAGAAATACCATGTGTAGAAGATGGTTTGTCACCAATTTTTAATATGTCTATATCGGACTCTTGTTCAGTAGAATTGTCAGAGATCAGAATGCTATTTTCTCTTACTGATGCTTTATCATGCTTTCTTTCAGCATGATATTCCAAATTGAGTGATGCCAGTGAGTAGCCACTGAATCCTTGATTTGCAGATGTTTGAATCAGTAAACCATCAAGATCCGAACTGGACGAATTTAACTCACATGAAGCAACATCACTGCAGCTGGTATCACTATCTGATGATCTCACTGAAAGAGAATCAGCTGATTGTTGCAAGAATTCTTCTTCTAAGTAAAGTCTGCGGTGAAGAATATCCTCTCTATAATGAGGAGGTGATCTTGGGTACATGGAGGACTGTGATCCAATTATCTCATCAATTGCAGTCAATGATCCCAATTTCGTAATACCCTCTACCTGGTGACCTTCAACTGTTGAATAACTTGGACTAGAATGAAGCTTTAATTCTAAGGGAGAAACACCCTGTGGTTCTGTCAAATTATGCTTCAATATATCTTGCTCCAAATTCAAGCCTAAATTTTGTTCAATCAATGAGACATTGCCACTATTCACTACTGAAGATTCCATATTTTCTATGTCATTACTCCTGTGGTCACCAATATAGGGATAGGCATCCTTAAATGACATATCAGACTCCAAGATGCTTGAACCAGTCCCACCTGACGAAATTTCAGCAGGGTTTGCAACATGCGTTGAGCTGGTTTCAGATGGTTTGTGACCCTTTCTTTGTCTCATGTCATGAGGAGCTAAACTAAACTCCGTTGAGTGGCTTTTAAACTCTGCTTCATCAGGAGTCTGATCAATATACTCCTGAAATTCTCGCAACCAAAGAACAGATTGATCGTTCTTCATATATTTAGCCCTATTGATTAAATCAGCAACCCTTGTATCATTG